CCCCCAAAAAAAAAGATATCAACCTCGTCACTATGCAGTAAGAAGGAGATGACGAGATGGATGGATGAGAAGGGTTTACATGCAGTGCGGCGACTCAGGGTTCAGCGGAGAATGCCGTGCTTCCGATTAAAAAAGAAAAAAAATTCTTTGGTAATTTTTTCGTTTTTTGTTTTTTTTTTTGGGTAATCTTTTGTAATCTTTTGTAAAAGTGCGAGAAAGAGAAGGAAGGAAAAAAAAGGGGAAAAAGGAAGGGAAAGAAGGGGGAAAAGGAAGGAAAAGAAGGGGAAATAACGAAAAAAAAAGAAAGAAAAAAGGAAAAAAAAGAAAAAAAAAGGAAAAAAAGGAAAAAAAAAAGAGGAAGAGTGTGACAGAGAGAAGAAGGGAAAAACTAAGTGAAAAGAAGGAAAAAAAAAAACCGACGAGAGAGTGTGACAACGAGAAGATGGGGAAAAAAAAAAGCAGTGAAAAGAATGGGAAAAAAAGAACGAAGAGGGTGTTGGCCTTAGACACTGCTGTTATCCGGTTGGGGGTGGGGGACAATGAAAAGGGAGGCGCAGCTACTGGCAAAATGCTCGGTCTTTGCGTTAGCCGGACCCCCACCGGCGGCCCCACCCCATCCTTGACCACCATGGTTGGGGCGGGGGGCAACATGCATCCCCTCTGATGGCTGGAGGGAGACAACAAAGCCATGTTTGCAGGGGTCCCCTGTCTAAGCCTTAGGAGTAGTGGTAGGTAGGTAGTGAAGGTGAATTGAAAGAATTTGAAAGATGACGAAAAGATTTGAGAGAAGAATATAGCGTAGTTAAAAAAAAAAAAAAAAAAAAAAAAAAGAGAAGGGGAAAAAAAAAAAAAAAGGGAAAAAAGAAAGAAGAGAAATGGGTAAAGAGAATGGTAAAAAAAACGAAGAGCAAAATAAGCAATGACAAAAATGATCTGGGGGTCGTCCATTTTCCCTCCGGTTTGCAAGAGCTGTCTCTCTTCCCGCCTTTGGGAGAGAAAGGAGGGAAAAAAAGAAAACGAGATCTAGGCCCCTCGGTCCAGTACTAGTCATTCTACATGCATTTGGACTCCTTTCTCGCCAGGTGCATTCGTAGGAGTCCGACATTTTGAATGTATTGGGACGATTGTGAGCTCCAGATACATTTAGAGTGTTGTGTACTGGAGCGGGGGGCCCGTACACCCGATTCTTTTGTTTTTCAGAATACTTATGTGAAATGCACCCGAGCCAGTCTCATGGGCACCATTCTGTAAGCGAAAATGCTCACGTATGATGCACCTGGTCGCCTGCTCTAGGCAGGTGCAGCCGGCACGGGTGTCGCTCACGAATGCACCTAGCCGCCTGCGCTTGGCAGATGCAGACGGCACGGGTGCCTTATACACGTTGTGAAGAAGAATGCGTGCGTTCTAGATCTTTCCCTCCTCTCCCATCTCCCCACCACTCCTACCACTCCTACCACTCCTACCACTCCTACCACTCCTACCACTCCTACCACCCCTACCGCTCCCCCACCTCCCCTCTCCAAAAAAGAAAGAAAAAAAAGGAAAAAAAGGGAAAAAAAGGAAAAAAAAGGAAAAAAAAGAAAAAAAAAGAAAAAAAAGAAAAAGGAATGAAAAAGATGGAAGAAAGAAAACTGAAAGGAAGAGAGGAGAAGAGAAGGTAGGCTTGATGAGCAATTGTTTGTGCGGAACTAGCAGGCTTTTCTTTGGCTATGGTAGAAAATAATCCTTGTCCTATTGTCTCATATCTTTTCCTATTGTCTTTCCCCCTTTGTTTAGGGGTATTTTGTTTTGCGGACCTACTGTATGGTTCCGTTTTTTTAACTATGGTTATGGTAGAATGTTTCTTTTGAATGAGAATCTTGTCTGCTTCGATTCCGGTTGATTCTGTCCCCTTATTTGGTCTATCTTAGGGAGGAGGGATGGCGGTGCTTCATGTGGGATTGGTTATCGGGTTATCGTTTTGCAGGCAAGTGT